TTCCGTAGGCAATACTTCCGTAGCCACCCGGTATATGGTATAGTTCGCACCAGATAGCGGTAAAGAAGGAGAAGGAAAAAATTTCCGGAAATTTGCCTAGTTGCTATGGTAACGAAACAAATTGTAGGCTTTGAATTGGTCGAAAATGTTAGGTGTGATAATTGTATCGTAGCTTCTTGGACGAATTCATTTCATTTCATAATTCTAATGATAATAATTGATACTTATTCATGGAAAAACTGCGGATTTTTCAACGAATGATATCTTTTGTTTTGATTGACCCGACTGCACAAGATACCTCCCCAAAATTGATAAAATGACTTTATGCTATACGACTTGTATTAATGGTACTGCACCTAGGTCTACTATTATATCTTTGAGGAATTTGATATGTTTGCTATACTAGATGACTGTATCACTGCTCCCTATAAACTTCATCAGTTCACTCTGTATATTGGTTCTAAGCAAAACTACTTTTTCCATGTGTGTGTGATCTAGCCTGTGCCCACCAAGGCTCGTCATCTACTCAACTTGTTGCTTTTTCTCATTTGTTTTGTCGGTTTCTTCTCCACTTCTCGGTGGCTAGATGAACTGTAACGAATCTCGACGGTTACTCGGTTAGATGAAGGTATACCGCCGCTTCACTAATCGACTTCATTATTAGAACTGTGGACATATCGAACCTTCAGCTGCGATATTGTCTAGTTATTTATCACATCATTAACTTGACTCCAGCAAATACCTCATTATAGTACTCATATCACCTAGCAATACTCATGTACATCCATAAGCAAGACACACGAAGTCATCTCCACAAATTTATTATCTGAATTATCAGTGTTTTAACATGTTTCGGCCTATCAATAGTCCATCATCAGCAGAAGCATATTTTTAAAAGACAATTTCTACAAAGAAAAGTTTTTTATAGTTATGCCCATAGCCCAAAAGGGCTTTATGGAGGGTACCAACGCTTGTTCATCCAAGTACTAAGAGTTTCAAAGGGTTAACATGACGTGTTAGAGCGGTGAAGGGGGGGTGGGTTAACTTGACATAGGATGCGTGAAATATGTCTCAAATGACAAGTGACACAAAACTATCCTCTGGCATGAACAAAGAATATCAGGCGTGTTGTGAGAAAGAAGCAGGGCCGTAATGAGTCACATGTCAAATAAATAACAAAAAATGTTTTTACAAAAAATGTTTTAGAGACAACCAGGTAAACTGAGGAAGGATTCAAGATAAGGCAAAGTACTAACCAAAAAGAGAATCCTCGTTAGAATTCGAGGGCGTTGAAAAATTGTTGGAAATCAAAATTTGTTTGTTCATTCAAGGTAATAATGTTGCCATCTTCAATTGACTAATCAATTTCAAATATCTCTAATAAATTAAAAGGGTGCCCTCATGGCAGATGTGTAAAACTTCAAGGTCGTTATTTATATCAAAGTGATGATTACAATTAGGGATAAAACATATCCTGAACTTTTTGTATTGTATTAATCTCTGGGAGAATTTTCGTAGCTGTCAATCAGTTTAACATGTTCATTAACACGATTTTGAATTCTCCTTCCATTCTGACCAATGTATTGTGCCAAACAATTAGGGTGTGAGCAAGAGATTTTATAGACACCGGATCTATGTAATGGAGGAATACTGTCTTTGGTGTCGACTAATAAACGGGAAATTGTATCTGTGGTATAAAATGAAACGTTGATATTATCGTTTGGAACCTTGTAAAAAGTTTTTTAGATCGTATGGAATTTTACCCACGAGAGGGATAGAGTAAAAAAGATTTATATTATTATTGAGTGGAATGAGACCTTGATTGATGAATTTAGTAGAAAATTTTTTGAAAATCTTGTTAATGAGGTACCCAATGTTAACGGCAATCTGCTTGATACTCAAGTAGTCACCTACCCAGAAAAATGTATAATAGGCTGTACTTACTTATAGGTGAATTAAAAATACTAGTATATTATGAAAGGTACCCGGGGACTGTGGTGACCCATTTATTTTTTACTGATGTGATTTGCAGTTCATGAAGTAGATAATCCCAAGAACTAATTTTTTTATTGGCCAATTCCACAAATACTTCACTGACTAGATCTCTGAGCAACATATAAGGTGATACAAGGATGATGCGGAAATCTGAGTTGTCATTTCGATTGCTGTGCCATGATATGTACTATAGTATTGTTACCACAACACAATTTATATGGTTTTAGAACTTTCTATTTTTTTCTGGTGTCCCCCAGCCCCGCCCCCCTCTCTACCCTTTCAGTTATGCCAATGTTATTTTCACTCAGAAGGAATAATTGTTCAGTTACTTCTGTCCAATTTCTGAAAAAATATTATCAAAGGCAGATAACCTGTTTCACGTTTGACTTCAATTCATCAAGTATACTTACTGATATACATATAGATAGATTCCAGATAACTCAATAGATAGCTCAATAGGCTAGAGCTCTAGGTGTCAAAAACCATCTGCCTATTTGGTGTGAGTTTTTTGTGTACGTGCGACAGTTGGTTCCATAAGTATCTTCTGGACTGTTTATTTCAATATTTCCATATTATTGATATCGTTACAGGTTTTTGAAACATTATATCGATAACTTGACGAATTTTTGGAGGTTGGCGAAGTTCCACAATTTTTTTTCAATTCCGGGGTCACTTTGCCATACATTTATGTCATGATTTGCAGGTCCGTTACATGTTTATAGGGAGTACAAAAAGTACTAAGCTGTCATTACTATGTGAATACAATCCTGATGTGATGATAGACTGTTAATACTATAAAAAGGGCATTCCATGTATGTAACAGAGCGTCAAAAATATCGAATATTCCAAGGATACAACGCAGAACCTCAAATGAGAGGTTCATCAACGTTATATACTGGTGAATATAGTGCACCCCCTTTGCCTGTGTGTTGAATATGGGTGCTTCTTCACTCCTCTATGTTTCACTGAATTTTTCATTCAATTCGAGAACTCATTTTTATACATTATTGAATTCTTCATGAGTTTTGTTGAAGACGGAGAACAGATATGGGGTTCATCACATGTTAGACAAACCAAAACGCATTTTTATAAAAATGTTGTGTTTATTTTTCTCTGGTTTTCAAGCACCTGATGTTATATATTCATGGATAGATTGCGAAGTATTTCATCTGAAATGTATGTACAGTGTGTCCACCTTAAGGACTTACCACCCCTGTAAAATTGTTATTATCTGACCGATTTCAAAAAACTTTTTTTTGTTGGATAGGTATTTGAATTGTCCATCGAACAAGAGAGTAATTATACTCACGAACTGTAATCGTGGCCAACTGCGACCAACTTTATTGACCCATATTTGAGAAAGTACTATTAGGGATTTTTTTTCACAAAAAACAATGATGGATTCTGAATCACGATCACTTGAAAAACACTTTCACTGATTTTTATCATCATAAAACACAGGATGTCCGAAAAAACGAATTATGTTTTTTTTTAATAGGTGATCAGAAAATGTAGTATTGTGGTATTTTTGAGGAGAATTGATGACACATTTTTATTGAAGATCACTTTGAACATATCTGTACCGATTTTCATCATTCAAAAATACGATGTGTATGAGAAAACAATTAAAAAGAAAAAGTAGGCAATATTTTTTCATCAACTAAAAAAAAATATTAATTTGATTTTTCTAACACCCTGTGTTCAATGATGATGAAAATCGGTACAGGTATGTTCCAAGTGATCCTGATTCATTTTTTATTTTGAGTGAAGAATTATCAGGAAGAAAAATATTGCTTACCTGTCCTTTTCAATTTTTTTCTCAGACTTATTGTATATTCAAATGACGAGAATTGGTACAGGTATATTTGAAATGATCCTCAATGATAATTTGTGATTATTTCTTTCTAGAAAAACCACAGAACTACATTTGCTGATCACCTATTTGAAGAAAATGATGATTCGTTTTCTCGGACACCCTGTGTTTTATGATGATGAAAATCGGTACAGGTATATTCCAAGTGGTACTGATTCAGAATCCATCATCAAGTTTCGTGGAAAAAATCCCTAATAGTACTTTCTGGAATATGGGTCATTGAAATTTGTCGCAGTTGGCCATGATAACAGTCCAAGAATTAGATCACTCTCTCGTTGGATGGGCATTTCAAATACCTATCCAACAAAAACAGGTTTTTTGAAATTGGTCGGATAATAACGATTTTACAGGGGTGGTAAGCCCTTAAGGTGGACACACTGTATACTTCACATCATGTGGCAAAGTAACCACAAGTTGTGTGGATACGTTTGCCAATTTCAAAATTGAAAAATGAAATACAGTCTCTATAACAACTTCATATTGAATCTATCAGTAGCATAAAAAAAGAGCCAAAATTGATCATACTTCTTAGGCGAATACACATCATTCACCGTTCAATAATTATTCGATTCGCAAAGTAACCACGTTTTACGGTACTTTATGATTAACTGTTTCTGCTATGCACACTAGAGATTCGAAGTGTCACGTCAGTCTGATTTGAAGGAACCAGAAAACATACTTTATTTCAGAAAGTGCAAAAAATGATGAATATTTATATGAAAGATATTTATTGTGAATGTTATCATTATCCACCTATGAAAGTATTTCCTAAGATTCTCAATTATTCCTTTCAACTTCTGGTAGATGGTATGCACTCATTTGAACAAATAGAAACACTAAGGTTCATCGTCTTCAAATAAGAGTATGTTGTTGAGCGCAAAATTAATCTGACCATGATCTTATGCAACTACTTAAGAGAATAATTATTTTCAAGCAACTGTCAACAGAACTAGATATTTCTTTATCCCATTATCTACATCGAAGCACGAAGTTGGTTGGTCAAGTGGTGTGGGTGAATTCGGCTTCTGATGTATATTGGTATAGCAAATCCGATATTTAATAGTCACTGCAATAGTAATTGCAGACACTTTGTCAGTTATATATTATATTTATGAAGTTTTTTTTATTACAGGGTCAGGACTACAGCCATAGAAGGAGACTTTCAACGCCGAGCCCGAGTCCAACCCGAGAACCTCAACGAAATGGAAAATCCGAATCCAGCCATGGTAGTTGGTTTAAATCTTTAGACCGACTATCCAGAAAGAAACCGAAAGCGGTGAGTAAGAAACAGTTGTTATATCAGGCAAAACCGTAATTTTCTTTTGGAACCCAATTTTCCGATTTTTATAAACATATTGAGCATGGCAAAATTCAAATAACTATTGCATCGTGTATAGTCTATCCAAAGTCAGTTGGAGCGCCGCGAGAAAAAACATATACACCGGCCTGCTAACTTTGGATGGACCTATACGTGCTCTCCCCTGTAGGTAATTCAAGACCTGTTGTTGATTCGTTCATACGTTATCTTTATTCATTCCTGATTTTGACTCTCCTCCTCAATGAGAATCTTGCTTTTGTCTGGGAGTTGATAGCTCAAAATTCCGTCAACGAAAGAACCAACAACTTCATTGTTCCAGAAATTACTTTGAGACTGCCTCAACTCCTCATATAGAAGTAACTAAAATTTCCAGACTTGCGTGTGAAGGCTTTCAAGATAGGAAAAATAATCGTACCTTTTCAATAACTCAAAATTAAGTTGAACCTTCATCTGGTTTTTAGCCCAGAATCAATCGTAATTACTGAAAACTGATTTTGGTTCAAAAGAGGTACCTAGATTTCCTAGATTTTCCAAACAATATTTTTAACACAGTCCTGTATTCTTTAGGAAATTACTGTACATCCATTGAATATGAATCGAAATTTCTGGTCAGCAAAATTTGATTCTGGTCAGCAAATTATATTTCCTCCACTTTTGGACTCGCCTGGCGCACCTACTTCTGGTCATCGAAATCATCTGTAAATTTTTCCATTATTCTACAATATCTGAATAACATCATGATGAAAGTTCAGGTTTACAGCACAACCTTCATTTTTTCAATAATTTTAACACTTTCAAAAATATTGGGGATTGTGACGTGCAAGTTGAGTTTGATTTAGACAAACAGTTAGAGGTATATAGTTCGCGAGCTCTCCGGCTACTGATAATTCTCTAAATACAAGTATTATTTGAATTCATTTGTTTTTTAGGGAGAAAAGGAGGGCAACTTCACTAGCGGCACAGAAGAAGAAACTCCTTCCAAACCCACTCCCACGAAGAGTCTCCGTTTCTTCGGAGACACCGATATCGAATCGAACGACAGCATTGGTCAGAAATCATCTCTGAAACAGCGATCGGCAACTAACCTCAAAGCGCGAAGCCAATCCACCAGAGACCTCCATAACATATCTGAAGAGAACAGGACCCATAATGGTGAGTAGAATAGTAAATACTTTAGGTGTTCTAAGGTTGCTTTTAGAAATACTTAGTTTCTTATTTATGAATGATCAAACCTCATAGTATGTGTAACATATCTGTTCAAATGCAAATACCTACAAATATTCGTGGATATATCTTGTCTTTCGGTCCCAGACAGAAAGAACAACAACATCATGAAGACGTTGCAAGCAGTACATATTTAATGTTGTATAAATAACATTCTCGATTTATTAGGAAAGGATATCAAAATCATAGTAGTAGCGAGAGAATATAGATTACCTTATTACCTCAATGACCAAGAAGTCATTTTCAATGCATTACACTACACATTAGCAGTGATCGGAATCACCGGCATCACCGCAAAATGCTCGGAAAAATGATATCTTATAGGAGACAAGTTAGATCGGAAATATGGATTTGGAATTGGGACATCAAATGATCACTAAAGATGGAGTTTTTTCTGAACAAATATCAGTTTCAAGAAATACAATTCCTTCTCACTCATTCTCAAGTTCTCATAGAAAAGTTATTACTTATAAAAAATACTGTGGAAACCGTTTCTGTTGAGGTCGATAGTGACATGACATTTTGTTAATAATAATATTTTTGTTCACTACACAAATACATATAGGTAGCACACACGTAGATATACAGTCGTATTCAATTGAAAAGCGTACACGTATCAAAAAGAGAGGATTTCGGGATCCTAGTTCTATAGTTGTGTAAAACTGGCTCAGCGAATGCTTTGTGTTTTCGAGAACCAATGACAACTTTACTATTAACATTTAGTGAACAATCATTCCCGATAGCCCGTTTTATGTAGAATAGGATGACGTTAATTTCTCTCTGCAATATATACTTGTACGCTTTTTTTTTAATGCGACTGTACATTAGGATTTACATACTTAGGGGCAAATTCTAATTTAAATGATATGGCAAAGAAAGCACCATTCCGGTTCAGAGTTTGAGAGAATATTCTTTTCACACGTGAAAATATGATGTTTCGTGTTGTTTCTACCCGTAGTGAAGTTTCTTCTTTCTGTGACGGGAAAAAAGTTTAAAATTTCATTTCTGTTGACAGGTTATGAAATGTCACTTCTCATAAATTATTTTCTGCTCACGGGAAACAAGTGAGTACTCTTTTCCTGGATATATATCACATTTCTATACATTTTTGATGTATTTTGTTGTGCTATGGTTCCGAAATATAAGCCAATAACACCGTCTCCGAAAAACAACTGCAAGTCCTTTTATCTTCCATTCGACTTCGCGCTTACGGGAATTACCAAACAACTACTAAATTTGCAATTTTTAATAATTAAATCACAAAATTCAACTGACAGATATTTGATTGCTTCAAAAAATGACAAAGATGCATGCGAAGAGATGCCTGCAACACAGGTGTCATTCCTGTTAAAAAACTTCAAATTTCACGACGATAATTTTATGATTTCAATATAACGTAATATCTTCCCAATATTGATTCGTCCTTTTTCTGTCACAGAAAAAAGTAGTGTATTATTCACGGGGAAAATATATGATTCCAGCTCACACACAAACCCTGGAGCTAATATCTACTACTTTTTTCCCTTGTATAATAAAAATAACTATTTTTGCTTTTGGGTGTATGATAAATTGACATTCATCATACAGGGCGTGGAAATGAATTCTGAATTGAGACTCTATCACGAATCTGCGATTAGAGGTCTATAAAAATCACAAGTTTCCATCGTTCAAGTTTGAACCCCCTGATTGGGTATGAAAGTGTTGAAAAGGAATATTCTCAGATAAATTATGAACATACAAAAATGGATATATATTTATATAAAGCAATACATTGAGAATTCGCATTCTCTATGTGATGAGAATATTTACTCTTTTTCAGATATAATTCAATGTTCGACGTGGCAAATAGCCAGGAAAGTAGTTGTTTTCTGTTGAATATTCAGAATGATGTGTGTATATACATATTTTTGTCTGAAGGAGAATGCAAATTCTCAATTTCAGAAATTTTTATATTTTATTTTCAAACTCTTATCGTGTGTGTTCAATAGATATAATTCAATGTTCGTCGTGGCATATAGCCAGGAAAGTAGTTGTTTTCTATTGAATTAACTGAAAAAGAGTAAATATTCTCATCACATAGAGAATGCGAATTCTCAATGTATTGCTTTATATAAATATATATCCATTTTTGTATGTTCATAATTTATCTGAGAATATTCCTTTTCAAAAATAACTATTTTTCGCCTTCGTGATATCTAGACAAGTTATAATATTTTTAAAATTATTTTTCAATTCTTCTTGTTAGGTTTGTTCAGGCATGCAAATATATTGCGTAGGTAGGTAGGTAGTTTTCATGCTATTCAATTAGTTTAGATGAAGATTCTATATCCTTTGGTTTGGGAGAAAAATTAGATAATTTTGAGTTAGGCCTGGAAAACATTTCAAAAATATCGATATTTAGATAAAAAATTCGATTGTTATCGATATATCGATAACTATCGTCAACTATCGATAACTTTAGATATAATGATAACTATCGATATATCGAACGTATCTATATGTTTTGACTTATCTATAATCCAATATCGCGCAGCCCTACTCTGGGGTTCACTCTCCTATTCTTAAACCCTCTAGGGTAACATTGAAGTGCACCCAACGTGATTCCTAAACGCACCTCTGATCTGCTCCTTGTAGGCCTGAAATCGAGAAGCAGTAGCTACAAGTCGATGACCAACGTGTCGGAAACCGAGAGGGACGTGAAGGGATCCCGATCCAACCTCAAGCCTCCCATATCCCCCAATCATCACGTCTCTAGGAATACTTCGTCCAGGCAGGATAAGGACCGCAGCAGACGAAGAAAGAACGAAGTGAGCTCTGTGGAGAGCTCAACCGAAGGGGACAGCAGCCAGCAGTCTCAGAGGAGTATCGTGTATTTACATGCTGCTACAGGTAGGCCCGAAAACTTGACTAGTATGGCCATAGCACCATTCGCGATAGAAACTAAGCGTACCCTACCTATCGGAGTTCTTGAAAGCTGTAAAAGCGGCATGTTTACTTTGGTTTCATTGGTTCACATTTGTTTTTTGTTTGTGCTTATTGGTCATATCATCAAAACAAACCTCTCAGAAGTGTTCAGTTATTGCCGTCAGGTGGGGCGATGTGTTATTTGCTATCGCGAATAGCAAGGTAATATTGCGCGTGGCTCGCTGCTCAATAGGCGCGATAACTTGCAGCGACACAAAAATAAATATGAATACGAGTATGAATATAATAGTTATTTGTTTAACTAGGCATCAAAGTAGTAGATTGACTGCCGTGGCTGAATTCATAGCCGAGCGTAGCGAGGAATCAATATATCGACGTGAAATTTTAAGTTTTTATCAGTAGGGACACCTGCGTTGTAGGCATCTTTATCATTCTTTTGAAGTAATCAAATATCTGATGTCACTTCTGTCAGTATAATTCTGTGATTTGATTTCAAAAAATTGCGAATTTAGTGGTTATTTAGTAATATACGAAGTCGAATGGAAGTTAAAAGGACTTTCAGTTCTTTATCGGAGACGGTATATATATATGTGATATATATCCGGGAAAAAATTATGAAAAGTGACATTTCATAACCTGCCAACAGAGATGAAATGCCAAACTTTTTTTCCGTTAGAGAAAAAAGGAATATTTTCCTTCGAAAACATTAATTAACCACTCTCCTCATTTCTCAAGCTCCATTTTTTCCAGTTGGCGACATCCCTGGTCCTGGCTACTTGAGGAACGGCAGGCGGTCCGCCTCAAGAGAAGAACTAGCGTCAAACAGCTCCAGCCGTCTCCAGCCCCAAGTGAAAACCCTCAGCAGGTCATTCTCGGTCCTGGCCCCGTGGAGGCCGCGCCACGTCCGCGAAGGCATTGACATAGACTACACCCAGTACCCGAAACCCGTCAAAAACGGCAAATACGAGCAAAAAGTAAACAAGAGCTCGTCCAGCCGCAAAGATAACTCTTCCACGCTGAAGAAGAAAGCGCAAGAGACCAGGAAGAACCAAGCCAACTCCACGCTGAAGAAGTCCAAGGAGAATGTGTCGACGCAAGCTCTGAGACGTTCCAGAGAAGATGTGTCTAAGGGGTCCAGCTCCACCCTCTACAAGAAGAAGGAGAGGCTGCCGAGAGAAAACTCTAGATACAGTCGCGACAAAGAGGACAGGAAGGTCGCTTCTAAAAGTTTGTCGGTGGAGTCCCTTGGTAGCAATGGAAGGAAGTATAGGGAGGAAGGAAGAGATATTTCCAGATCAGTTTCGATGCCTAGAAATCCGGAGAAGTCTGCAGGCTGGTTCAAAATGTCGAAGAAGAACAATAAATTGTCGAGTAGCACACAGAGACTGTGATTGAATTTAGTTAGGTATAGCTTGTTAGTTAGATAGTGATAGAGAGGCGGAATTCCACTACAGTGGCGTATCACTCAAAATACTATGTCAAATGAAATTCTGCCTACAGTATACTTCACATGATGCTGAAATGCAATCAGAATAGGAGAAAGGAGACTCGTGTTGATACAAAGTCGTGTTGTTTTTTATATTGATCTAAATACCAGGATATTTTTATTTCAAACTTATTTCCGAAATTGGAAATTGAGGGCCTAGATATCCCCACTTAGTCCATCTGACAGGAATAACATTTATCGAAATATCTTCTGACTATCTCAAGATGACGAGTTGATCTTTATAAATCAAATATAATAAGTATCTTGTATTTTTGCGGTGTAGAGATTTCGAATAATTCCGATATAGCTCTTTTGCAATATTTGTTTACAATCAAACTGCATCAAAATTTTATCCGTTTACAATAGCTTGCCTTAGAATTGGTTATGGATAATATAGCTCCCACGGACTTTCGGAAATGAGTTTTTAAATAATAAACAATTCTGGATCACCTTTTTATGAGAAGGTATTTTTATACTTCGTGGCATATGAATGTGGGGTAGTTTTCAATAAATATTGCAGAATTTTTATTCTCACTGTTTCCTAACACGACCAGACTTATCTGATAAAATTTGACCATTCATATATTAATTTCAACAATGAACAAAAATTTGAACGAATGAAATCGCACCGTTTCCTACTCAATAAATTAAGAATATAACTAATCAAATTCACCTATCTATTTCAAGATGCTGTATTTTCACTAGAAGCACCTAAGTATTCGGTTTTCAAGGACATAATTTCAACAACGAGATAAACACGTTTCAGATACGCCACTGGACAGAAAATAGTGCCATCTTTCATTAGAAATGTACCTTGAAGCAATGAGCAGACTATTCATGTCCTTAATTATATGTTCTTCGTGAATGTATTATCTCAAATGATCGATTAAGTTATGTAAGTGTTTGGACATTTGAAAAGTTTGACTTCAAGGTATGGACTTGTTCTCTCACATTTACTGGTTAAATTGTGTCCGAGATGAACCAATTTATCTAATTCACAAAAACGCACGTGCCTTATAACTTTAAAATTAGAAGTAAATTTGATTTCTCTTTCATTATGTCGTACGAAGGCCTAGTGAAAAGGAAATGGAATTTTAATGTTAAGTTTTAATTAAGGTTTTCGAACGTGAATGCCATTATGTAGGTATAGGAAGACCTACACAAATCTTATCCACAATCTTAATTTCAGAATGCCTACTTTACATTAGTATCGAGAAGGGAGAATGATTAAATTTGAATAAAGACTCTGTTCAAGATATTGAGATAAAAAATTATGAATGAAGTGGTCGTAAATCCAAATGAGACACCTCTAGAAACTCTCCAGACATTCAGAAGCTACAACTGCGCTATTTCGAAGGCAATTCTTTGGTGTCTAATTTATATTTCTGACTACTTATACAGAAGAGATATCTTCTCTACAAACTTAATTTTTGATATCTTAAAAATTGAACTTTGCATTCGTGGATCACGTCATACATACTATATGGCTGATTCACAACAGATGGCACATTAGACGTTTCTGGTGAACCGGACACGGATCACTTTTAGAATTTGATGTAGGGCATATTTGGACATTATCTTTTCAGCTAAAATATTCTCAATACCAGTTCTACTTGAAAATAGTAGCAACTTCGATATTTCAAATGGAAAACCCTATAAAGTGTTGAAAATGTCGAATAGTTGTTGGGGAATTGTATGTTGATTCTAAAAGAAATATATATATATATATATATAATATATAAGGTGTTTCATTCGAAAAATCAAAGTTGCTAGTACTTTCTAATAGAAGTGGCAACACCGCATCATCGAAAATATTTTAGTTGGGTAGAAAATGTCCAAATATGCTCTCCATCAAATTTTAAAAATTATCCGTATTCTGGTTCACCAGAAATTGCTGAATGTGCCCACCGTGAGTCAGCCTGTAAAGTGCCGTAGTATTTCTTTTTAATTATAGGTATATATAAACTTTCACTTCGTAATTGAATATTATGGTGCTATATTAGTAATAATTTTTTTATTTGTAAAACATCTGTAAATAACCGATTGTATTTGTTGTAAATCTTGGGTAAGGTGAAACCTGTATTATTATGAGTTCAATTTCCTCATAAAATGTAATATTGTTTGTTACCGAAACGCCTGTAATAGAAATGACTCGTTGATTTGTAGAAATATTGAAATAACTCCGTTGTCACAAACGTTTTCACTTAACAATGCATTTTGTAATTATGTGCTACATATTAAATATAATATGAAAATAAACGAATTTTAATACAAATTTTATATATTTATTCATTTTGAAATTATCAGTTACATGTCAGCATAAAGGAAGTACACAACAAACGACCTGGGCTGTATAACATCTGAACATTAATTTTTCCAAGGTTTCCTATTCAAAAATCTAAAGTTGGGGGCGTTTTTAGTGAAACCGGAAGTTATAATTGTATTGCCAATCAATGAGCAATTTGGTATACTTGCTACCCACCAAGTCTTCAGCACTGGTCGTTTTTGTGCACTCATTCTCTATATACTGGGTGACAGACTCATATGGTATATACCCCCTTTTCTCCTTTGGTTTTCTAGCTATACTTCTGACATTTGGAACATCGAATATGCTCACTAGAGGGCACTTTCTCATATTTTAGGAATTTTTCTCATCTATGGTGGCTGCTCTACGTTCGTACCGTGCAGAATCGAATATTTGAGAATACTGGCTCGAGTATAAAAATCAATGAACTCAATATGAACACGGATGGGGGCGGTTCAGAATAACCCCCCATGGTTAATCAATCCTGCCTGTCGTAAAAGGCGACCAAAAGGATAACTAGGTGGTAGATGGTCTCATCGCCCGATGAAATACCACCATATCTACTTTGTGTGCTTTGACATGGATCACTACATGTTTCAGTGTTCGGTCTCCTCTCTATGAATGAAGATGATCAAGTCTCCTAGAGTAAAACACTCCGGAAGTAATATACCTCTCCATTCGGATTTCCGGGCGAGAGGTACTCGAGGGGACTCATCTCTGGAGATTAATTTTCGCGACATCCGCGGACTCAACAAAAACATCAATGACGTCCACCATCTGGTATTCTGGCACTAACAGAAACTCAAGTGAACTCGTCCACCAACAAAGGTCCACATGCTTTGTCCTGGTTACGAACTCCAGTCTCGATTCAGGTTCAAAGGTGGAGTCTGCAAATCAGCAGATTAACAAATGATATTTCCTCCACTTTTGGACTCGCCTGGCACCCTCTTCTGCTCACAGCGCCAAGTTAATTTTTTCAATAATTCTTACAATATAAAAAATATAGGGGATGGTGACGTGCAAGGGTAAGGCCTGCCAAGTCATGGTTTTCTTACTTTGATCCATCACTATACAAATTTCTAGCCTTACAGACAAACCGTTATATTATGAAAGGTTCACGAGCTCTCCAGCTATAACTTCCGCTCCGAAATGGCCACCATTCCCAGAGAGATGTATCGACGCGTGATGGCCAATTTCCGTTCTCGGTTACAGGAGTGCCAGCAGCGCAAGGGTCAACATTTGGACAACATAATCTTTTCCAAAGTTTTGTCTAAAAACCAACAGATGAATTTTTTCCGTAACATGTTTTTTTTATTCAAGTTATAATCACCCCCTAATCTTTCTGGACACATTCTTGCATGACAACTTAGCAGCTAAGTATCTAGCTAATTATACACATTATAGGCGTATTTAGGGATCACACATAGGGTGCGCTTCATTTTAAATCCTCAACGCCCAAGAAACCACTGCACTTCTCAACCGTTCTGGCACAAACTCAAGTGGAACGAAATTTCTATTATTTCTGTTATTCGTGGTTGTCAAATTTAAGTAACACTACCATCGAGAACAATTCTACTGCTGGCTTTCTTGGATCGTGTTGTATTGATCAGATATTTAGGTAGGTGTATTATTCATTATTCGCGGGATGATAATAAAAATAATCTATATTTTCCAATGGACATAAACACTTATAAATATACAAATTGCAAAAATATCATAGAATATATAAACGAGCATACAAATATATACAATATACAATATACGACTATTTTTTCAACTCGGCTACGCCTCGTTGAAAAAATCAGATCTCGATCACCGAAGTAGCATTTCGCGCTCTAGATACAAAAATAACTATTACTTATTCGTAACAGGAATACAGGGCATTATTTGAATTCGGTGCGTAACTTTGATGCACGATATTTCAGGAACGTCTTGATGTTTTCGCCTGAAATTCACCAGCAATTTACCTCTACTGACACAAGACACGATGGCCTACTATGGAAGAAAAATTCCATAGCCGGAATTGGAAAACTCTTTTTTTTTATGTCAAAATTTCGACTTTCAGAATCGTATTTTTCAACAACTCTCATCAGAATCAGAAAGATATGGAAAAACACTGCAAGTGTATCTTTTCAGTTTGTACGGCACACTTTGACCGGATTAGTGAAAAAATATCGAACAAAATACTGATGAAAATATTCATTCAAATCCATTTCTTGCATATCTGTATTATAAGAGTTTGAAAGAGACTCTATTCGATGAAAAATTCCAGTACCGGACTTACTTTCCTTGAAGAGACCTTTCAAAACATGGAAATAAATATAGCTAATTAAAAAAAACAGATACCTATCTCCTCTCCCTTTCCTCCCTAAGTAAGCACGATGTACTTCGATCAATAGGAATTTCCTTTCGGTCGCTCCAAGAGATAAAAAAATATAAAAAATTATTGCTTAGGAGAAATATTTTTTCCGAATCAGATAGACGTGCCAACTCATACTATATACATATAATCTCATTGCATGAGTGAACTCTCTCAATAAGCGAATCTAATTGTGAGTTTGGTGTTTTCAGTATTCAGAAAATACTTCAAAAGAAGGCTGAGCTGGATGTATGAAAAAGAATTTAAATAGGTATTTTCTCTCAACAGGATGGAGCACCTCCACATTACTCAATACAAGTGAGATAATACCTAGAAAAACAATTATCTAATCGCTGGATAGGTCGTGGCGGCCCTCATTCTTGGCCCCCTAGGTCACCTAATCTCACAGTATTAGACTTTTATCTATGGAGACATATGAAGTCAACACCAGAGAGGAATTGAGGAAGAAGATACTATCAGAAATAATGAGCAAATTATTCTAAAAACCATAACAGATCTTCCGAAGATCACTATTCAAAAAAACTGATTCTAATGCATTTAGTGGAATGTAGAGAGTAATGGCCCGGACGAAGTCGAAAGGATATTCGTCTGAATATTTGATATATTTTTTCACCAATCTGGTCTAAGTGTGCCGTACAAATTGAAAAGCTACACTTCTTGTAGTGTTTTTCTTGATCTTTCTCTAATTCTGATGAAAGTTTTTGAAAAATACGATTCAGAAAGTCGAAATTTTGACATTTAAAAAAATGAGTTTTCCTAGTCCGGCTCTGGAATGTTTCTTCTATAGTGGGCCATCGTATGGTGTGTCAGTAGAGGTAAATTACTGGTGATTTTCACGCGAAAACATCAAGACGTTCCTGAAATATCGTTCATCAAAGTTTCACCCCGAATTCAGATATAAGGCCTTGTATTTCTGTTACGAATAAGCACAATATATTATTTCACTTATATATCAACTCACCTTGACTTCCTCTATCCGCCATTAGGCTATGGCTAGTCAGTCATGACTCACCCTGTACACCTACTTTATTTATGAATGATGTATTCTTGTAAAACAGGCGTGTTTTATAAAGCATTCATACAACCGAAATTCTGTTTTGGAGCTATTAACTTCTTTTTGAACGACTAAACGTCAGAGCTCCCTAACCTCTGTTTCAAATTTCAACTTACTTTGTGGGCGAAAAATACAGGTTTGAAAAATATTCATATAGGTTATGTTCTATGTAATGGCAAGTCAGAGAACATCAAGTTATAACCCCTCTCAAGAAGCTACTTAGACAGCACTCATACAGCACTAATACAGCAAAGAAAGAGTAGCAGTAGGTTGTTTTTGATGAAATAACAAACGTTCGGATAGCGTCTCTGCCATATGCAAATCATCAAATCTGACAACACAATGTGCTACAGCTACCTTAAATAAGAATAGGCAAGCGCAAAGAATACTTGCAAAAATGTGGTGGAAGAGGTGAACACAATTTGAGATACCAGAGAGATCGCCTGAATGTCATCCATTTCTACTATTTTTAAAGATGGCTCTTATGAAACTTTATACTCTGTGACTGAGCTTGCTCGAGAAATATCTCTTAAAAAGTGGGTAGCACTTTTATACAGCCAAAATGCTATTTGGAAAGTTCATCACTGCTGTCATGGACACCTTCTTCGAATTTATTCTGGAAACCATGTTGAAAACTCGAGAAAAATAGGTGACAGCGCGGCCATTGTTACCATCAGTTCAATTATTCGAAGTGAATTTGATAACTTTTTCTGACTATAAAATGCTATTTTTGTGAAATATCTCTCATGAGGTATTATAATAACATAAATTTATTATTTCTAGACCATTTAATGAGAAAAATATACTTATATTTTTTCGAATCATTATTTTTCATTTTATCGATTTTAGTTTTGAATGGGTCCTTTAGTTTTGCACTAGAATATCACTCACTAGACCAAGACTAGAAGGGATACCCCCTTTGATATTGGTCGTAGTAGGCTTCTCGCTCGCGGCATTTATCAATTTTCGAATCCAAGTTGGCTCGACCGAAACAAATATTGTGCTGAGTGGAACCGCAAAATTGTCATTATATAATCATTGCGAGCCTGCAAGATGGAACGCACTCATAGTTTATATATAGTCATGATCAAATAAATTGATGTTCAATTCAATATCGTCTCGAATGGGATTTATGAAAGTTTCATTTGATGAAACATGTAATATCTCATTTTCTTCTGCTAGACAGATCTCATTGTCAACAGTATTCAGCTCATGCCTGACCAACAGTCTCTTATATGCACTTTCAAATTGTTGTGCATTCAATTTTTGATCCAATCTTCCTCTACCAAAATATGTTTCAATATAGTAATGTGATATCCTAGATGTTAAAAGATATTGTTGGTCATCTAGTTGCATATCTTTATATAGCTCTAAAATATTTCTCAAGCATATAATGAGTCCCAAAAATCCGGTTCTCCTTTCTGTTTGCAAAATAGGAGTACCCAACTGATCCTTCAAGCCGTGTACATATTCTTCGAAAGTCTTCGTTATTTTTTCCAGATTTTCTATGGTATCTTCTCTCAGTGCCATTTTGA